AAAAAATATTAATATATTTATTTTATTGGATATAATAACATAATTAAAATATAATTAATAATATATATTTTATAAAATTATTAATATTTTATATATAAAAAAATAAAATAAAACCGGAACGGCCCGTTCTGAAACTGGAACGGGCCGTTCTGGTGCATTTTGGGTGTGTTAATTTTGCACTTGGAACGGGCCGTTCTGGATGCAAAATTAACACACCAAAAGTGCACCCAGAACGGCCCGTTCCGGTTTCAGAACGGGCCGTTCTGGGTCCGGGTGTTTTCAAAAAAATTCTCATCCACGTGGATGCCACGTATGCATCTACGTGGCGCTCACGTGGCCAAAAGTTAACACCGTTAAAGCAATTTGGATGGAAAGTCCCACATTGAAACCAATTAATTAATTTAGGACTAAATTGAAACCAATTAATTAGTTTGGGACCAAATTGAGACAAAAAATTAATGAGGGACTAAATTGAAACAAAAAAAATTATAAGGGACTAAAATAGGATTTTAGCCGAAAATAAAACTAAACTAAAACTAAAATAGAAAAAGCTAACAGAAACTATAAATACATAAAAGAAAAACTAACCAATTAATTTGGTATTAGCCCCCGCAAGTTGGAGAATGTATGTCTAACATATCTAGCTTGGATAAGATGTGAGAAAAGCTAGAAGAAGCTAAAGGCTTTGTGAGGATGTCAGCTAACTGATTAGAAGAGGAGACAGGCAAAAGGTGTATTAATCCAGAGAGTAGTTTTTCGCGAACAATATGACAGTCTAGCTCAATATGTTTAGTCCTTTCATGGAAAGAGTCATTGTGAGCAATGTGAATGACAGACTGATTATCACAAAACAGGTTACAAGGTACTTGCGTTGCATGATTCAATTCCTTGAGAAGATGACTTAACCATTGAACTTCACAAACTGTAGAAGCTAGGGCTCTGTACTCAGCTTCTGAGGATGACTTAGAGACAGTTGTTTGTTTCTTTGTTTTCCAAGAAACAAGAGATGCACCATAGAAGATACAATAACCTGTGATAGAGCGCCTAGAATCTGGACATCCAGCCCAATCTGAATCACTGAAAGCATGAAGCTTGTAATCTGATGTGGAAGGAAAGAAAAAACCTTTACCAGGACAAGATTTGATATATCTAAGGATACGGTTAGCTGCCTGAAGATGGACATCAGTGGGAGAATCAAGAAATTGACTTAATTGTTGGACAGCATAAGTAATATCTGGGCGAGTTGTAGTCAAATAGAGCAGCCTTCCAATGAGTCTTCTGTAAGATGAGATATCATCTAATGGTGTGCCAGAATCTTTGGATAATCTAAGTGTAGAATCCATAGGGGTCTTAACTGGTTTAGCTGCCAAAAGACATGCATCAGATAAGAGTTCAAAAGCATATTTTCTTTGGTTTAAAGATATGCCTTTAGAAGATCTAGCTAACTCAAGCCTGAAGAAAAATTTGAGCTCTCCAAGATCCTTAATTCTGAACTTGTTGTTGAGAAAGGTTTTGACTTGTTGAATAGTAGTAACATCATTCCCGGTAAGTATTAAGATGGTGAAAAAAAAAGTGCTAATGGTTATAAGTGTATGGTGCACTTACAATTAATTTTACGGTTTAATATGGTTTACATGACAAGTATTGGTTCATTATGGTCATTTAATTAGGAGAATATTATCGTGGACTAGTTCCATATAAGGTTTACTAACAAATTATTGATATAAGTAATATTATTCGATCTTATTAAATAATATTTTAAATTTTAATTTTGTGTATAAAAAAAATGATTGATAGAAGATACATTATTAAAAGTAGCTAATTAATTTTACGACTAAAATTAATTATTAACAAAACTAATGAATATTTTGTGTCAATAATATAATTATTAAAAAAAATTTCATATATAATATATTATTTTTGTTAACCATTACATACATCTCATTCATATATACAATAATATAGTGTATCTTATGCACCAAACTAATTTTTATTTGTTTTCACCTTCTCTTTCCTTTGTTCTACGTTGCCTCCTCCTTTTCCAATGTTGCATCCTCCATTCTCATGCTAATTTCCCACAAAAGTTGAACTTTTTTTGTTTTTGTTTTGTTAACAAGTCAATTTCATCTTTAACCTTGTCTTTAAGTAATCTTTCCTTGTCTCATAGCAAAGCAAAGTAAAATCATCAAATGAAACCCAAAATAAATATGCACATAAATGAATGGATCGAGCAGAATAATTAATTCGTTGAATGTAGGAAATCATTGTTACACAAGTTGCTTCGAAACTCAAGCGATTGAATATTCTTGCAAATGGTAGTAGCTTGATGAGGATATATGTCTTTCCCTCATCCACTGTGAGAATCAAAGTGCACCCTTGTGTCTTTCATATTTTTACATCCAATGCTGTGGGAAAGGGAGAACAGAGAACAGCAATAGAGAACATAAGGAGAAAATAAAAAATAAAAAATAAAATAAAATCATTTAACACAGAAGGTACATCATAGAGTAAATATAAAGGTGGTCCATTTTGATATATAGTTCTACGACAATCTCTATCTTGTCGTATCATAAGATAACATAAATTTCTCTTTTATTTTTCATTTGTTAATTTCATTTTTTTTTAAGAAAAAAAGAGAGTTGATAAATGACATAGTATCGTATTCAATATAAATTAATCTTGATATATATATATATCGCTCATCTTCTTTCGGCCAAAAAGTTAAAACATCAAAAGAAAATTAAAAGAAAGATATCAAATTTTAATCACAAATCCTTTTAAATAAAAGGAAAAAAATCGAAAAGAAAAATATATAGACAAGTGATTTTACTTAGAGTTGTTAAATGGACAAATGCGATCTATATGAAATAATGCATGTATGGGAGTTGACTCGGTCTATTCCAATTTTCTTATGGGCCACTTATTATGTTGTTCTTAAAAAGAAAGAAAAAAAAGAGTAAGGCTAAGGTTCATGATATATACACCTCCTTTTTTCTATAAGTACACCTCCTTTTAAAAAAAATAATTAAAATTTTAAAATATTCTTAATTTTTTGTTTTAAATTTTTTAATTTTACATCCACAACATTTAATTTAGTACTTTTTTTCACATATCTTTTCTCCTTTTTCAATTTTTACATGCACCCCCTTATTTTTCCTTCATCCCACCTATTTTGGTAGCATGTAAAAATTGAAAGAAAAAAAAAAGTGTGAATAAGAAGAAGAAAGTAGTAAATTAAAAGTTAAAAGTGTAAAATTAAAATTTTTAGAAAAATTATAATATTTTATAATTTTTTTTAAAAGAAGAAGGTGTACTTATTTAAAAAAAAAAAAAAAAAAAAGGAGGTGTATATATCATGAGCCTAAGGCTAAATAGGCACAATAAATTTCAAACTAGAAGATCCGGCCTAGCTTGGTTAGCCTACTAAAATTGGGTAGCTAAGCCTCACTCACATGCTCATCTAAATGGCCATTTAGGCATTTACAAATTTTAAAGGCTTATGGCCACGATTGTGTTAATTTTTTTAAAAAAATATTTTTAATAAAATAAATAATTTTATATATTTTTATTTTTTTAAGTTATTTATTTTAAAAATAAGCGTTTTTTTTAAGAAAAAAAATTCTATCGGCTAATAAAAAAAAAAATTCACAAGGCCACGATTGTGTTAATTTTTTTAAAAAAATATTTTTAATAAAATAAATAATTTTATATATTTTTATTTTTTTAAGTTATTTATTTTAAAAATAAGCGTTTTTTTTAAGAAAAAAAATTCTATCGGCTACTAAAAAATAAACTTCACAAGAAACGTTTTTATTACAATATAGGCTTCCATGTTCTTATATCTACTATGTTCAACTCTCTCCGATCCATGATAAAATGGACATCTCCATTTTTACATGATACGTGGACTAAAATAAAATTAACAGTAAAAATTTAAATAAAACAAAAATGTGAGAAAATAAAAAATGAGAATTTCAAATGCATCAAGATTTGTGATTTGTCAAATTCCATCCTCTCCCTCCAAAATTCTCATGCTTTTCTCATAATTACAAAGGCAAAAGAGTTATTAATGAGTGCAGATGATAACAATGAAATAATAAATAAATATTATTTTGCTATCATTGTCAAATAAGGAGAATAAGATATGAGAGCATAGATATAGTGTTATTGTGACTTGTTATAATTTTACAAGTTTTGAAATTAATTGTTTCTTCCAATTATGGGAATTAGTGTATATTATCATGGTTTGACTTAATTAACATCCTGTTAGGAAGTATATATGTTGAGCCATTTTCTTTTTATATTCATTGAGTGCCTCAAAAAGTGAAGACTATATTACCTAGACATCAATTTTCTTTCTATATCACTTTAAAAACATTTTTGTTTTGATGTGCATTCAACAATGACCTTCACTTGTTTTTCATTTATCTCCAATTTTTCAACTCATCATCTAATCACTAAGTCTTCTTTGGCATTCAACAATTGGATGCTAGAACATAACAATTGGATTTTATCTAAAACCAATAAAGCCTAAATGCTTGTTCTAAAAGGGTTTGATAAACAAAACAAACTACACTTATTGATTATCCTAAAAGCATAGAAATCAGTTAAATCAAATAGGTCTTTCAAAATCATTTTAGAATTACTCATGATATTTATAGTGATTGGATTCTTTGTCCCAATTGTGCAATCAAATAATTGAAACCATTATGAACTCCATTTTAGCCCTATTAAAAAGAAGTAGAACATAAACTTGATTGCAACACAATTTAAAGTCTTATACTAGACAAAGGTTTGAAGATTATCATATCAACAAGTCTTATGTCAGCAACAAGATATTACTTTGTAGATAACAAGAATAATTGGTATATAAAAAAACATAAGAATACCAAATCTTGTAAAAGCAACAAGATTACTAAAAACTAGTAAATAACTATTTGGTAATATAACTTATATTGGAGATATAAGAGAATTCTATTCTTTTGCAGTACACTAAAACAAAATAAAATACCTCATAAAGTAAAAAAATAAAAATAATGTATTTTTTTGCATTATACATCCAAACACGTGTTACACCATATATACATCCATTTACTTCCATTAGTACATGCCTCTTACACCACCAAAATCAACAGTGCCACATTGTTGTCAATTTTATCATTTGCAATTGATATAGATATATGACACATTCTAAATGATTCTTCATCCGTAGACTTTTTAGCCAACATATTATCAATTATCTTGTTAGGCTCTTCATAAACTTTAAACAAAAATGTATAATTTTCATGAGATTCAGATGCTTTATTTGTGACACCCTTCTATCCCGACATTAATATACAACAAATGTAATAATAAAATTTTTTCTTTCTTTTTGAGTAAATAAAATCTTTCATAGTTGACAAATGTCTCAAATATCACAAGGTAGAAGATTCACATTCATAACTCATAAATCATAACTCCAATGTAAAAATTACAAAAGAAAAGAAGTTAAGATTTTCAATACAATTTAGTGACAACAAGAAATCATATATATATATAATAATACAGGAAATATAAATTAACTCCAGTAAAGGTGGCAGTGCCTCCTGGTTAGGAATTAATTTATATTTTCCAAATCATGTAATAAAAATATAACAAAAATATTCATTCTGGTCTTTTATCAAGAACGTTCAAATTACAATTCTTAACATACATTTTCCTTGGATTATAAACTTTATCTACATTATCTCTTCGTTAGAAATTACAAAAGAAGAGAAACTAAAGTTATTAAAACAATAACATATTAAACTAAGCTAACTATGCCCCGATGTCAAATCCTATCAGAGCATGCCCAATTGAAGCCTTTAAGCCTCATCACCAACATCCTCATGATGCTGATCACCTGCATCATAATTTAAACATATACAAGAACAACAAGGGAGTGAGAAACATCTCACTCAGTTTTAGGTGCAGAAATAAAAGTTAGATAGAACCCACACACACACACACCAAATACACATACATCATTAATATCACATATACATTCAT